GAAGTTCATGGGATATGTGAGCGGGAACTTCAGTGACTTCGAAAAACAGAAACAGAGAGGATCAACTGTCTCAGATTACAATGCAGTAGATGAGAATGATGAAATCCACCGAGTGATGATGGAAGTGGAACCATTGCTGGAAGCTTCGGGAAAACGTAATTGGAGGAGCATCATGTTGACACATGACGAGTTTCCTTGCCACTGCTTGCTGCAGACCTGGTGGTATCCCAAGCGTAGTAATCTGGTGTTGATCTGGGACTCTGGAGAGCTGCTCTCCATGGGTTTACCAGATTCATCACAGCCCATAACAATAGTGATAGTGGGAGTTATGATGGCGATACGATGGCTGGAAGCTCATGTGAGAGAAAATAATAGACAGGAGGCACCGACGAGAGAACAATTGCAGAAATTAGATTGTCTAAAAGATTTAGATCTTTTTGAGACAATGTGCAAAGTTCTAAACATTCCGATGGAAGTGAAGAAGATATGGGCAAGAAAACGATTGATGCCATGGTTCAGAGCTAACATGACTGCATGGTTGTACGAGTATGCGAAAAAGCATATGTCGAAACATGGCAGAGTGTACAGTGAATATCAGCTGGACATTGGGGCAGGAGCTTTCAAGCGAGCTTTCGTGACCCATCGGAATGCAGTGACCACCGCTGTGAAAAGAATTTCCAGGACGAGCGAGCGTAGTGGAAGTGAGAGGGCAGAGATGCTGAAAGAAGATTTGGAAAGAAACGTGGTGTTGTGTCTCCACAACAGCTTCTGTAGAAACAGAGAATCAAACGTGGATCCCCTACCTTGCTGTAAACAGAGGGTGGAAGAGCAGAAGTGTTGGAGGACGGCTTCCAACAGCGTCAGGATAGTCAATGACGTGCTACAAGACACGGAGACCGAGAGTGCAGAGTCAGCGTCACAGGAGGAGGAAATGGAGCATTGATGAATGGTCGAGAAAACAAGAGGCAACAAGAAAGAAAATTAGAAGAATTTAGAAGTTTTAGAACTTCTAAACGACGAAAAAAGAAGAGAACAAAGGGATGATGAAGAAAAGTTAAAACTCAAAATTGTTTTTTGTGTGTGAAAAACTCAAGTGAGAAACCAAGCAACCAAGTTGTAATTGAAAACTGAAACATTTAAGTTGAGTTTGGAAATTGTTGCATTTATAAATTTGCATTTTGGTTTTAGTTGAAGTGGCTTTAGAGACACTCACTTATTATTTATTTAGAAAGGCTTGAGGGAAGAGTATATTTAAATATTCCAGCCTGCATGATTGTTTTTAATCACTTAGGAAGACTGATCACTTTGTGGTGACATGAAAAACTTGAGTAACTTCTTGAGGAGGGAGGTTGTTGCATTGTTCTTTCTAACCACAAAGTTTCTTAGTTTTAATATTCAGGACAATAAACAAGCAAGATTTCCGAAGGGAAGGAGCATAGTAGGATAATTTTAGCTTGTTGGTTGGCAGGACTGTCCTGCAAGCCAACACCTTTTAAATCTAGGAGAAAAAGTTTCAATCGGGATATTGACACTGGAAGTCAGAAAATATGTTTTATCTTAAGTCATATCCTCAATGTGCAGATTAATGAAAGAATTTGAAGGCTATAGTGATGTAGTATGATGCCATTTATATTCTGCAGTGAGTCGATGTGACGTAGGTAAAAGTAATTTCGTGCATTTTGTAAATTCTGTTCGATGACACTGTAACCATTTAGAACATTGCGCGATTCAATGAGGACATTGACCGGACTGTCCGGGGAGTATGTGACATTCGACCAGAATGGCCAAAATGCAGTCTCTGCAGAATTCGGTATTTTAGCAGCAAGCCTTCCGAATTGGCGATTTAGAACGGATAAGGACGTTATTTGAACGATTAGCCAAACGGTGAAGGCTAGAAGATTCTGGAATTCTAATTTTTAAAAATTCGAATTATGACGTCATATTTCTGAGAAACGTCAGAGACGGCCATTTTAGCTAAAATAGCAGAAAGGAACAGAACAACTTTTATCTGCGATTACGAACAGTACGAAATCGAGACTAAGAAAACAACAACGAACTACCGAACAGCAGAGGACGTTCCGAGTTGCAACTATTGTGCTGTTACAATAGTTGCAAGGCCGTTGCGAGCAACGGTGAAGGGTAAAACCCAGCCTTCCGAGTTATTGTGAACTGGATATTAAGAAGCTTGATTCACCGGATTCAAGAATCCGGAAGGGTCTCGGGACGTGGACTTTTATGAACTTATATTGAATTTTAGCATCCGTCATGTCCTGACTTGAATTTAATTAAGATCTTAATTCGTTTTGACAAGAATGAGGAGCTAGAAGTAGGGGGGAAAGGGTTGATCCATCTTCGATGGAGATGATGATTTTTATCTACTGAACAAAAACAATAGTAATATGATAAGTAGTAGCCCTGTTTTTAGGAGTGACCTCGTGGTCTGGGGATACAGAGACCCAGCCATGAGCTCACTAATTTTGCATGTAATTCAGTTAATTTGAGCGTTCTGGTCGAAGCCGGAGAACAGTAGCGTTTTTGTCAGCCTGATGTAAGAAAGACCACCGAAAAGTACTGGCTTGGTAGAGACGGTGAAAAACATGCAAAGCTCTGTTTAGACGCTAGCCAGTCGTCTTAAGACTTAGTTTTGTTATCCGTCGATATGTATCTTCCGGGCGAATGTTACAGAGTTTTCTTAAAAAGCTATCACGGTACAATCGGAAGGTTTGCACGTTCCTGTCGAATCGTACCGCCGGTACTCTAGAATGGGCATTCAGCCCGAAGCTGTCTCAAGTGGGTTCGACTCCGTAGTCTTGATGTCGTAAACACCCAGGAGCGCCATAAAAACACTATGTAACATTCGTCTACTGCAGTCACACATGAGGCTTAAGAAAAATAGGCCCTATAACCACTGGCTCAAGGGTCAGGGACACTATCTCTTGTGTTTTTCTACCTCAAGAACGGTCGGAGCCAGTTCGGTTCGCTTGTGACATGAGACTACGACCCGTTACAGCTTAAAGGCTACTACTAAAATATCCCCCCACTCTAGAATTAGAAACGTCCCCATACTTAGGTCTCTAGATACCCAAAATACATGAACGCCGTTAAAAACCGGGTTGGAACAATCCGTTAAGTTACTTTTTATTAGACAGTGGAACTTTGATCCATTTCAGATGGATCAACCTAAAACTCGCCTTACCTCAACATAACAATTATAAAACACACTCTAGGAATTTAAATTTGTACTCACATAGTAGCACGCTCAAGAAGTGGGAAATAATCCAGTCGGTAACTAACTCAAGAATTAAATAACGTAGCTAAATGAGTCTAATGTTTTATAGTTTTAACAATGAGAACGAGTTTACACTCTAGACAATAGTTTTCTTGTGAACCATTAGGACACTCAAGCTGTCCACCTTTCCACCGAAGGTTCACTCTAGTCCAGTTCCGAATAATACTCCAGTCGTTATAATCCAATTCGAGGGAATGCTCTCGTCTCTGTCACAGATGGGACAGCTCTACTCTCGATTATTATAGTGATGGAAGTTGCGAACAGCAATTTCCTACTGCTTTTTCTTGCGACTTTCCCGCGTTTGCGACTCAATTGTTCTGAAATTGTTCTGACCTCTTTTTCTGATTTTCAGTTCTCGCGAGAAAATCGTGCATGACAGGTTCCATTCGAAATTTTGAAAAATTAAATTTCACTCCAAAATCAAGTGTTTTTTGCTTCTCTCAAGGTCAAACTTCCAAATATGACCGACTGGCACAATCCCTGATGACTAGAGAGCGTCAAAGTTAATGCCTCTTTACAAAGGAATAGGCAACAAGAAAGATCTTGATTGCTACCGAGGCATAGCCTTTTTGAACTGTACCTAGCAGCGGACTACCTGACGCGATCTGTAAATCTGACCGCTGCTACAAAGAAGGCTGCTCCTATGATTGTAAAGTGTTTGGCTCTCCATCTGAAAACTACAAACACCTGCTAGACAACAGTTTGTAGATACCTGCTAGACAACTGCTCATATCTCGATAAACTACAACTTGGACGCGATTGGTGAAAACCCTCCGTAGACTTTTTATAGAATTTTCATCGAGCAATTTCTTTTTGATCGAGCAGTTTCTCAAGGAAAAGAAGTTTTCCGGGTAGAAAGGATTGTACAGTTAGATAAGATTGTACAGCTTGCCTATCGGGTAGGCTGGGATTGAGAATAGCAACCCTTCATGGTGGTGAAAAGGACGCTTCTTCAACGAAAAACAAAAATTTGGAAGAGTCTGTCGTTGGACATTGAAACTTTTCTACAATAACTTTTAGCTCTTTGGATATGCCCTGAATTTAATTTAGCCAACAACCAATTTAGTTTTCAGGAGCTAGGAGTTTGGAAAGGGTCAATCCATTGATGCGGCGTTTTTCTCTACTGAGCAAAAGTGATAGTAATTTAATAATGATTTTTAGCCCAGTTTTTAGGAGTGACCGCGTGGTCTTGGGATGTGAGACCTAGCTATGAGCTCACTGATTTTGCATCTAACAAGTTAATTTGTATAATTCGGCTGATAGCCTTAGGCAGTAACACGCTCGTTGACCCGATCTTATGAAAGACCACTTTGAATTGGCTCCGGTAGAAACGGTTAAAAGCACGTAATGCTTAATCTTGAAGCTAATCAATCGTTATAGAGTTTAATTTTACTTTCCGTCGTTATGTACTTTCCGGGTGATTAATATTTTTCATAGGTCCAATTAGGGCTTAATCCAAAATAGATACGAAAAAACTTTTTCTCCGTGCTATTCTATTTTTTAAAGATTGACAATTTATTGTTTGACAGTTTGTAGTTTGACAGTTTATATTGTATAATGTGAAATGACTTTTACTTCTGTACATTTTTTAACTGTGATTCTTTTTAGATCTGAAGTTGACAGTGAATGTCGAAAAGGTTTAAAAATTATTGACAATTAATCCCCTATCTAGACGTTGAATTGTTTTCTTTGTATTGTTTATACTGCGATTTCAGAAACATGTGAGAAGAAATTTTATCGCATCTTGTTTGATGTGATGAGTAATTATTTAGATGCAGCTATAGCAACTGCTCTCGGAGCTGGCGATCGGTTTTTGAATATATTTGGATTGGACAAGGACTACCTTACAGGAGGCTATGACCAGCTACGTAGTTTTCTGGGGCCTCATGTTCAATACCCTCTAGGTCTGATTGGCTTGGATGTAGATTACTTGGTTTGGCTACTCTGTGTCTTGGCCCCAATTATTTTTGCTTTTGTCCTTCCACTTATTACAGTCACTGTTTTCTATCTCTGCATTTGTGTCATCAATTTTGTCAAGTTTAAACATCATTTTTATCAGGTAATGTTTGACGTACTACTTTTCCGAATGAAACAAGAAAAATTTGTTCAAGCTAGTTTTTTAGATTGGGCACTCTGGAAACTGGAGGAAAGCAGGTCGGTTGGCTTGCGCAATTATGTGGAGAACTTTAGGTAGGCTTTGGCATGGGTATGAAGTACGGGGACTCGATAAGTTGCCGATAAATGCTGAAAGTCCTGCGATGTTGGTCTATTATCACGGTGAAATGCCAATCGACTGCTACTACCTCATGGCCGAACTGGTACGCATTGCACTTTCCTGTCCTTTAAGGAATGAAAATGTGCAATTTGACCTCCATTTTTCACTTGCGATAATATTTTTCGTGTAATCGGGAAGTGGAATTTTTACCGTTGGCAACTTCTACCGATCTGTAAGAAATGTTCCTTAATTATACTGAAATCTCAGTTACTTTGAAGCCCTTTCTTTTTGACCTAGTAGTAAAGTGCGTGCCTTGGGAGTCTAAGGTATGGGTGTTTTTTATCCAGGAATTTGAACCTGTTTTCTGGGCGAGTTGAATCTGACTATTTTTTGTCGGCTTACTTTTCAAAGCGATGACTTTCGTTAAAGACTCAGGGAGTTTTAACTGGTTTTGAGTGACGTATCTAGCCTTTGTTAAGATGTAAATAATTGAGTACCAAGATTATTACACTTGCGATCAGCTTAGTGTATTATTTCGAACCTTTTTTTCTAACCTAACTAGCATATAAAAGTGTTCATTAAAAGTGCTCATTTATTTGGAAAATTTCACTGTAGCATTAGAATTTGCATAGCATCTGTTCTCTGCTTTATCTGTGGCTAATGTTTGGCGTCTAATAAGCGTCCGTGACTGAGTGGTTAGTGAGTGTGTGAGACCCTTAATCTCTAGGTCGCTGGTTTGTCAGTCTTTTATCCAGTCTTTCCTTTCTGATCTTTTGTCTAGCAGTAGGTTGTTCTCGAGCTGTTAGATTTTTAATTAGCACTACCGGCTATCAGTGTTTATTTTTGTTTTAATATGTTTCGAGCGGTTAGGCATATCTTGCACTGAAGGGTGTATGGGTTAGACCAATTCTTCTATATTTAATCTCAACGATCGGAGTAAGTCAGAGCATGATTGGGACAATTGATTCTGATAATTTATTTCTATTCTGATCAGTTGTATTACAGCTTGCTTAAATCTTTCTAAATGGTTGATAGAGTTAGTTACCAATTTTTACATAGTTAAGTGAATATAAGTTTGAGCTCCAGTTTAATATTAAGGTTAATTACTTAATTATTTGTATCAAAATTGCTATTATCAAATGCACGGCGTCAGGTAGGGACGTCACAGTCTCCCAAGAAAAAGCTTTCTCGGGTGGGGGTAAGTTTTTAAACTGGGTAAACTTACGATGATTCAATTGTAAAATTTTACAATCAGTTTTAATAACTTACTATTTTCTTAGAATAGGGTTAAATGCTAATTACCCTTGCGATAAGCAAGGGTATTGCAGTCGGGTACCAGACTTTTTTCCCGTAAACAACTTTGTCCACAGGACTCATCTGGACGCGTGGTACCTTGGTTCACAACGAATTCAATTTTTTTTTATTTTCTCCTGCACACTTAGCTCGGAGGTAACGAATAAGCCTGGGACGCCAAAGGTCTCGGGTTCAAATCTGACTAGGACTTGTTTTTTGGTAAGTATTCTGGTTCAAAAAAAAATCGGCCAATTAATTGTCTGCTTGTGTTTCGTCGGGTTAGTTGCCAGATCTAAGATTTATTGTTTTTTTGCTGTAAACAATTTCAATTGTAATTGCTTCAAGTGTTTTAGCATTTTAAAAATCCGGAAGAATCAAAATTTGTTTTTAATACTGGTTGTAATTTTACCATCTCGAGTTGTCAAAATTTCTTTTTACTTTCCTTTTTGTCTTTTTTATCGGGTAAATAAGTTGGCTTAATTTATATCAACCCACTGGCCTCTCATTGCGTCGTTCGGGGATCGAAAAATGTTTGTGTGCGTGTTTGTGCTCCGATTGGAGAAGGGAAATAATTTTTTTTTTAGTTTAGTTTTTTTTTCGGCATGAAATTTTCTGCTCAGAGTTTTTCGGCTCTGTTACCACGTGGTAATTATATGTTCAATTAATCATCTGGCGTAGACGTGACACGACTGCTTGAGACCACTTATTTTACAATTTTTTTTTGACAAAAACGATTTTTTGAATTTTTTTTTCAAATTTTTATGTTTGCAAATTTGTATCGCAAGTGGTACAAAGCTTAGCTTCGCCTCTGTGTACTTCTTGAAACAAGTTTATCAAAAGCGGCTGTGAGAAGCGACTAGGGTTTGGAAAAATGATCAATTTTTAATGATAGTTCATGTTTAAAAACAGATTTATTTTGAAAACAGTTCATCATAAACTTGCACGGCAAAAACTGTCGTCTCCATTAGATGGCTGAGCTTCTTCATGCTGTTTTCATCATGACGTATCTCTGTCGTTACTTTTCTTTATATTTTTGCATTTAAATAGTTTCACTCGATTGAAGCCGATCGCATTTCTAAATTGCTGCTCTGATTTCGTTTCTCGTTTTCCAATGTGGCGTTTTAAGCGGCGCAACAGCTTCATCCGTTGCTAATTTGTTTCCCGGAACTAACATTGATTTGTGTTGTCGAGTTTGTTCGCTATTTTGTTTTTCTACTTAAAAGGCAATTTGTACTTTGGAGCACGTGCTTATGAGTTGATATATACTTTTTGAAACGCGCCGTACGCTTCCGAGTGTCATGTTTTATCCTTGCTAAGAGCGTTTTGTGCCTCATTTGGGCCTTACTCCCTGAAAGAAACCGTTGGACTTGGTTTTGATGAGCTGGAGAACCACATTTTTGAATTTTTTGCGTGTTTGCGCATATCATTTTTCGTGAGGAATCTAATTTGTAAAAGAAGGCTTTTTGTGATAGTGGTGATGTTGTTTGTTTGTTTGCGATTGCCGAAACGTCGGGTAGAAAGCTATTTGACTTTAGATAGGTCGAGAACTTTCAAATGACAAAAGGAACTTCACGTTGTTCACTCCACTTCAATTGTGATTTCCATAAATTCTGAGTATCAAACTTTTTGTGAGCTTCCTGTTTTGTCCCTCTTGGCTGTGGGCCATCAGTATCCTGGCTGCCACGCTGATGCCGCAAGGGCAGTGATATGGTGATAGCTGTTGTTTAAATCGATACCTAAATTAGCTTTTTTTTGCGAATCAGTTAATTTTTGGCCGATAACTCGCCCCTCTGATAGCTCCTTAGCCAATGGAGTTTTCAACCCAGATTTGTTAGAAAAATGGTTCAAATGTCTTATCTTTTGGAAAAAAAGTGTTTGAAAATGGTTCTAAGTGGGGTTCATTGGACGCGGATAGGCCTATCTTGTACTGAGGGATGCTTGGGTCAGGCCTTTTCTTCTAGATTCTATCTCATCGATCGGAGCAAGTCAGAGCTTGATGGGAATAATTTATTCTCTCTCTCTCTCTATTCTGATCAATTGTATTACAGCTCAGTTAAATCTTTCTAAATGGTTTGTAGAGTTAGTTATCAAGGTTTACATAGTTACGTAAATATAAATTTGAGCTCCAGTTTAATGTTAGGATGAATTACATAATCAATTTTTTGTAAATGGCTCATATCAAATACATGACATCAGGCCGGGACGTCACAAAACTAATTTCAAATTTTTCTTATTGCACTTTAAATAGCTGCTTTTTTGTTATTAGCGCTACTGTTAGCGAAGCTCTGCCTTTGTGTGCAACATTTATTTATTTCTTTTTTCGGTTTTTTGCTTCCAATGTTCGTGTGCTTTGATTGTTTCAGCGTATGTTATATTGACTTAGTTGCATCATAATATTTGTTTAAAAGGCGAAATTATTCTTTACCGTTGTGTTTCGAGGAAATTAAAAACATTTTCGAGGTAAGTTCTAAAATTTTTATAGTACGAAGTGGTAACCTTTTATTGACCTCTTTTGGCTCAACTGACGTCTACCTAAGTAGCAACTGTCTAGTAAGTGCTTTGTGAATTTTGTCTTAGTGCTTTTTCAACGCTGGGTTTTACGATTCTCGACTTGTTTTTCCCAAATAGAATATCAATCGGGGCATTGTTTTTAGATGTTCATTTTTCGTCATTTTTTCTTTCAACTAGTTTTCTCTCTCATTTTTCTTTACTTTTCATTTTCTATCTGCAAGCTTGCAATGCTAACTGTGTCTTGTTTTGCAAGCGTTGTGAAGCTCGGTTTTGCTTTTGGGTGACATTGTTTCCTGACGTTAGCGGAAGTTTTTCTTGATGCTGAAATTAATGCTATGGTACAGGCCAATATAGAGTGACCCATTGCTCATAGGACTATGAGCTTTACTTAAATGGTTAATAATCCAAAACTTTGTGCGTTTCTAAATCTCATCACAGATTTTTCAAATAGTATTTTGGGTTTTTGTTTGAAGTCTCAATGAAAGAAGTGAAAAGATTAAGTTAGGTCCGTGTGCTTTTCTTTTTTTGAAAAAAAAAGTTCAAATTATGATATGCCGCATTGATCAAAATTTGATATCAATTGAAAACCTTTTCAGTCGTGATTCGAATGAGAAAAGTGTCAATAAGTAGTCCCAGTGACAAAAAAATTAATTTGAAATATTTTGTTTTCGATCGAGTAAAGCAATCCAGTAACGTTCCTTGTTACAAAATTGATCATTTAGGGTACAAACAAGTTGATATTCCTGAAAGAAAAACTATTTTGGAAGCTTCATTTAGCGCTTCTCTGGCAATAATTTTTTTTTTCGAATTAAAAAAATGATTGAGAAAAAGTTAGAAAAGATTTTAAAGATTTCGAAGATTTTTTTTTGTAAATCAGTTTTGAGGACAAATTTTGTCGGTTATGTCGAATTTACTAAGTTTCTATTCGTTTTATAGCTTTCTCATCACATCGCGCACAAACAAGGACACTAGTTTGAAGAAACAACTATTATATGCTTTTTATGAATGTGTTCAGAATATTCTGTGCTACTTGCATTCGGAACCGGCTTTCCTTGTTTATTTCTGCACTTGGGTGATTAAGTGTCTTGTAATCGTGAACTCGACATTTTTTTTCCGTAAACAACTACTTAGAATAATTTGAACTTGCGTTATTATTGAACCGAAACGAATTCTAGGTTTTTTCCCCACTTGGCCGGGAGGTAACGCTGTCTATTTCGTACCCTTAACTTTGGGCTTCGACCACCGATGGAATTGTTGTTCGATGAATGAAGATGAAAATTTTTTCCCGTAAACTTTGGGTTCTAGGACTTCCCTTTGTCTGCTCAAGTTTTTTCGGCTTAGGTGGCACGTCAAGGAATTTTATTGTGCTGTAAGCAACTGTCATGGTAGTTGCAATTGTTGTTCATTGTAGTTTTAGAGGGTACTTGAAATTTTAAAACTTTTTTTAAAATAAATTCACATTTCCGCTCAACTGGTGTCTGCTCGAAGACAGTTGGCTTTGTTTTCGCTTCGTAAATTATGTTCTGTTGCCAATTTAAAATTCAAATTTCTTGATAAGTATATTTGCCTAGAATTCCTGTTTGACAAAAAGAGGTCTTACGGAAATGTATGATGTTGGTTTTTTAAATTTTCTTTTGAGACGTTTCAGAAAAATTTTTCACTTTTTTCAAAAATTTTAGCGTTTCTCGAACTCTACTGTACCGTTTTTCAAAAAAGAGGGCATGCATCAATGGAAAAACTGCTTACGCCCCAGTTTGCGTGCATAATCGCATAGACTTCTTTTATTTACTTCACAACCTTAGAAAAAGTCTGTGAGAAGAATATTTGACAGAAAAAGCTATGGTTCTTGTTAAGTTTTTGACTTTTATCGATAACTATCCTGCCGAATGTGATATCAAGAGCTTTATCGAAACGCGAGATTGTCGGAAGCTTGCCTGTAGAAGCGGCTACGCTCAATTTTTTCTAGAAAAAACTTATAGCCTTCAAAACAGTTGAACCTTGAACAGTATTTTGGAATTTTTAGATTTTTCTCAGAAACTACCCCGCCATATCTTCAAGTGTTCAATCGAAAAACCGGGTGTTGAAAATTTTTTTTCTGATTGAGCGGCCACGACCCACTTTTTGCAAAAAAAAGCTTATGGAATTCGGAAAGTCAACATTTTGACCGTTGTTAAAAAAGTTTTGACTCTCATAAAAACTATCCTGTCAAATCTGTGATGGAGGGTTCAATCGAAAGAACCGGTTGCGAGAGTTTTCCCGCCAATTTTGAAATTAACCATTTCATCGCGCAGTAATATAATTCAAAAATATCTAGTTTTGAACGTTTCTCATTTTTTTTAAACTGTTTTTTTTTGTTTGTGTTATCGAAAGTGGAGCGAAGCTCCGCTTCGCTTGTGTATTAATTTGGTCGGAATATTTTGAGCTACTTGCACTGCAACCTGCTATTTTTGTTTAAATTGGAGAAACATTGTTAGCGGTGGGACTGGAGCCATTTCACAAGGAGAATTTTAGACAAATGCAGAAATTATTTTTTTGAAAAAATAATTGTCCGTCTATCATTTGTCTGCTTATTTTGTGTCGGCCTACTGGTCACAGCTCGATTTCTTCTTGTGACGTAAGCAGTTTTACAGTAATTTGAAATATCGCATGACTGTACTTCTTCAATGTTGCATGTAAGTGAGTTTCAAGAATTTTTTGCTGATTTTTTTATTGATTATACTTTTGAATATATTTTTATTGAGTACACTTTTTGGGATACGGTTTTAGAATACCTTTTGTTTCGTCTCATGCTCCTCTTAGTCCCTAGAAAGCAATAAATGCAGCCTTGTATTTAGTTTTTAAGCTTGGCTGTAATCTATTAATTAGAAATTGAGAGTTTCTCTTGCTAAATTCTCTTGTATAAATCCGATTTTTCAAAAATGATTTCTTCGCCTGGTTGAAATTGATTTTTAAATGAGCGTTATGAATCATACGTGTGTCAGAGAACGGCGGTGTTGTACTGAAATACTTTGAGGATTGTTGAGAAAAAATATGAAAGATGTTGCAGTTTTTGACCGTCCATTTTTGTGCCTGAACACGGCATATATTTTTTATTTTGTGATGCGAAGCTCCATCTGTTTGAAAAATTGATTCTTTTCTTAATACTTCCAGTTACAAAACGTGTTCCATAACAAAAGTTTAAGTCTGACTATGTTCAATTATCTAGGTTCTGCAAAATAACGACAAAACGAAGTCTGTTGCGGATAGGTTCGTCTTTCAACTTCCAGGATGGGGAGCAATGCTGGAAGCGTTCAATGTTATCAGAGGAACAAGAAGCGAATGTGAGGAAGCGTTCAGTCAAGGTTACTTTGTTCTGTTGGCGCCCGGTGGCACTAGAGAAATGCTTTATAGCGATGCCAACTATGATATTCACTGGGGCTCGAGGCTAGGCTATGCGAAACTAGCGTTGAAAGCTAAAGTGCCAATATATCCCGTCTTTACAAGAAATATTCGCGAGGTATATAAAATCTCGAAATAAATTATCTAATCTCTCGAAAAATAACGCTTAAAACAAGCAAACGCTTAAAACAAGCAAACGCTTAATTACTAGCAAAATCGTTTTTTCTTTCAATTTTTTGTCGCTTAATTTTGCCGTTTTGTGATTGTGTTTGCAAAGTACAGCTTCACCTCTGCGCGAGCGTCGTATTCAGATTTTTCACTGAAAATCATATACCGCAAATAAACGTCAGATTGGCTCGTCAGATTTTCTGAGGTATCATATTATAGCTTTTAGTCAATGTTCGAGCCGCAATAAAAATATCCGTAATTTTCAGCAGTCTTATTGTTCCGACCATTTGAAAAGTTAGTATTCGGGCATGTTTTAGTTTTTTCTTTTCGTTTTCTTAGCGAAATCAGGTACCACAATTAATCATCGGAATGGGTCGAGTGATATATCATATTTCATCCCTTTCAGGTGTGGTTCGAACGTCATTAAAATCTTTCGAAAAAATTAGCTGTATTGAGAAAAACCGGTGGAAATTTTTGATTTTTGGTCTAATTTGAAGCTGGGCGAGCGTGCAGGCTTACAAAATCAAGTACAATAGCTTGTTTGAGCGTACATTAAGCCGTGAAAACTTAGTTTTACGTGAGTAAAGTTAGTTTTTGGAGATTTTTGCGCTATTAAAAAAATAGAAAAAATTTTAGAAAATTTTTTAAATTGTTTTTACTAAATTGTTTTTACTAAATTGTTTTTACTAAATTGTTTTCACTTAAATTGTTTTTTCTTTCGTTTTTCTAGCCATTTTTCTACAAAAACTGTTTTCCAATCGGCCCTTTTGACTATGACTGTCGAGTTCGCCTAATTTTTATTTTTCATTCAGATTTTTTTAAAAACAAACCACACAAAAAACGACACTAATTTGAAAAAAAAAGTTATATTCTGTTAAGACTATGGTCGGAACTTCCTGTGATCCTTGTTTTCAGTGATTTTTTCCCTTGTAATCTGTTGCGAAAGTTGCTGGTAGGATAATTTTGTGGTACTTGGATAGTAAACGGTTATTATTGTTTGTTTCAGGTATTTCGATTTGTTCGGATTAGGCCTTTCTGGAACTGGCAACTAAAATTGTACGAGAGATTTAAACTTCCGTTTGTACTGTTGTATGGAGGGTTCCCATCGAAACTCGTAACGTTCATCGGAGATCCCATCATGGTGGAATCCGAAGAAAATATGGCCGTGGAAGACTTAAATGAAAGAGTACAAAGCGCGCTCAAAAACATTATAGATAATGTTCAACCTAAACCTGGAAAAATTATCCGGGCATTTTTGGAAAGATTTCATCCTGTTCAAGTATCTTTGTAACCCATTTGCATGGTGGGTTTTGCTCCTTCAAATCTGAACTAAAGTTTATCCTGTATTCGAAATGCATATCCTAATTATCACACATTTTTGTACAAATTTTGTTTTGTACAAATTTTGTTTTGAAAAAAAAAATTGTTTTGTCAATTGGGCATTGCTCATGTCAAATACTCGTATTTTAACATCACATTTGTCAATAAGTTGTCTGGAAATCTATAATCATAAACATTTTTTTTTTCAGATTGTTTTTGGCCTGAAAAATGAAAATCGAAGAAGTGAAAAGTACTACTAAAACCCAGCGTATAGCAGCTCATAGTCATGTGAAGGGTCTCGGGCTGAAAGATGATGGCTTTGCGCATGCTATGGCCTCCGGTTTGGTCGGCCAGGAACAGGCGAGGGAGGCTGCTGGAATTGTAGTGGACATGATCAAATGGAAGAAAATGGCGGGAAGGGCAGTCTTGCTAGCGGGACCCCCAGGCACTGGAAAGACTGCGATTGCGATGGCCATTGCACAGGAGCTGGGGACAAAAGTACCCTTCTGTCCGATGGTGGGGAGCGAAGTGTACTCGGCGGAGATAAAGAAGACGGAAGTGCTGATGGAGAATTTCAGACGTGCAATTGGCCTAAGGATCAAAGAGACGAAAGAAGTCTACGAGGGAGAAGTGACAGAATTGACCCCATGTGAGACCGAGAACTCTTTAGGAGGATATGGAAAAGTAAGTCTTAGATTGGTTTCATTGTCATGAGTTTTGAAGATGGTGAGAATCTTTTAAATTGAGAAAAATCCTGAAGCAACTGAGAAGCTGTGACATTTAATCGTTTTCATGATGGCTTCTCTGCACTGAAACTGACAAGGATGTATCCTGTTTATCGTAAATGCCCTAATTATCAATTATGTTGAGGTTAATTTTCTTAGTTTTGCCAATCAAGCTATTCAAACTGTCAAATATTGCGGTTGCCAATGAAATATTTTTGATTGAATTTTACCGAGCTTTAAAAATCCAGCTCAGTACCGAACTGTTTTTTTACCGAACTTCCTTGATTTAAAAGAATGACTGTTGCTTGGATTTTTTTCAGGTACTTTCTCCATGGAATCTTGATTTTTTTGTCAGTTGACATATTTTGTGTTAGTTTTATTTCTGTATGATTTGTCTAGGTGGTGAGTCATGTAGTGATTGGGCTGAAGACTGCCAAGGGCACAAAGCAGCTGAAGCTGGACCCCTCGGTGTACGAGAGCCTGCAGAAGGAGAAAGTGGAGCCAGGTGACGTCATCTACATCGAGTCCAACACAGGTATGCATGAGACGACAGGCAAGACAATTGACCAGATCAGACAGAAAGTGAAGTCAAGAGATCAAAATATAGATCAAAATACAGAAATTAAATAGAGACAAAATATTTAGGCACGTTTTTGTTATCATGTTCTCTTTTCATAGCTTATTTTCAGTACCTTAAATTGACAAGAAAAAATTGTCAAAGCCCGTAATAAAAAATGATAGCCAGTTTCTGTGCAGTAAGTGCAGAATGTTCTGACCACAGTAATTTAATTAAAGCAACTAAAAATACAGATTTTTTTTTCATTTTTAGTCGGTGTATTTTTTTTGAGTTGAAGCAATGAAGAGTTCGTTAATCATACTGCGCCACTTGAATTTTTGGTCAATTTAGGTAAACTGCATGTTATTAGATTTACTATATTGTACTGCTGTGCAGGAGCCGTAAGGAGACAAGGTCGTTGTGATAACTACGCGACTGAGTTTGACCTGGAGGCGGAGGAGTATGTTCCGATTCCGAAGGGCGACGTGCATAAGAAGAAAGAGGTAGTGCAGGATGTCACTCTGCATGATCTGGACATAGCCAATGCCAGACCCCAGGGAGGAGGTCAGGATGTCATGTCTATCATGGAGGGGCTGGTGAAGCCGAAGAAGACGGAAATCACAGACAAATTGAGAAAAGAGATCAACAAAGTGGTCAACAGGTGCGCACTGCCTCGGTTCCGAATTTTTCATTTTATTATTTTCAAGTTAACAAAAGAGCAGATGGGGACCAACGAGGAAATCAAGACTTATTTGTTTTGTATTAATTGCCCTGGCGAGTTTGTAACCGTTTTTCCCCAAGCCGCGCATTTCAAAGCAAATTTTTGTGCAAAGCTTGTGTACGTTTTGTTAACAGCATGTGATCTAGCTATATATTTATTGAAACAATCTTTTCTGTCTGATATCTAAGAAGAAAGTATGCGTGAGAGTTGTTAGAGGGATGGTGCCATGGCTAATTGTTTAAGTCAAATTATTCTTGATTCTGAGGTATGGGTGTGAATCCAGCAGTCTTCGAGCTTTATATTATTTTTGAAGTTTTTTCAAGGCATAGTACAGTTTTTTCTTGATTTTTTTTTTGGCATTTTGATGGTTCGTGCCAAGTACAACTTAAAATAATGTGTCCCAAATGAAGTTGCATCGAAAAAATTCTAGGTACATCGACCAGGGTATCGCGGAACTGATTCCAGGCGTCCTTTTCATCGACGAGGTGCACATGTTGGATCTGGAGTGTTTCACCTACCTGCATAGAGCACTGGAGTCCGCCATTGCTCCCATCGTCATTTTCGCCACCAACAGGGGCAAGTGTGCAATCAAAGGGGCCGACGACATTGTGTCAGCTCACGGGATGCCCCTGGATCTACTGGACCGAATCATGATCATCCAGACGCTGCCTTATGCGCAAGAGGAAATGCAGCACATCATCAAGATCAGAGCGACCATAGAGTCCATATCTATAGAGGAGTCAGCAATTGAAATGTTATCACAGGTGGCCATTAAAACTACCTTGAGGTACGCAGTGCAATTGTTGACCCCGGCTAACCTGTTGGCCAAGATCAACGGAAAGGATAAAGTGGAAGGCGAAGAAATTGAACAAGTCGGAGGCATGTTCTTAGATGCAAAGAAATCCGCAAAAATATTGCATGAAGAGAGTGACAAGTTTTTGAAATGAGAATTGTCTCTTAAGAGTAATGATGGTATTAAGTCAATTTCAACGGATGTCAGAATGATCTCTTACTGCCTGAACTTTCGAGCGCAATCTTGAATAGTTTTTTGCTTCATTTTATCTTGTAGTGATCATCGTATCATACATTTCTTTTTTGTTCTACTCATGATGTAAATTTGTACATTTTTGCTATATACTTCAAACTTGATTTTGTCGCAGTATTAAGTTTTTTAGCTGTAGGTTTTCGATCAAACTTTGGTGGGTTTTCTATGTATTTTTTTACGCTTAACGTCGGTTTTTCGCAGTTCGGCTTTTGATTTTTTAAAAGGAAGGCAAACTCCACTATCGAACAGCAAAAACGTAAAGGTCACGAAAAACGTGATCGACTTCTAATTTTGAAAGCGGAATTTAATTATCAGATTTCCCAGCGGAATGAAAATTTTACCTATTAATCCAGTTTTCTCAAATTAGTTTAATTTTATCAAAAAAGCACAAATCATAAATTGTTCTTGAAATTCAAAGAGCTTTAAGGGTATATATACTTTTGTCTGCATTCGAAAATTGTTTTTTTTTTCAAAAATATGTAGTTTTTTTGTTCCTTGCGTTTATTACTCTTTTCCAACTGTCACTTGGCTATGTTCGATTGATAAGATATCTATCAAGGTGATAACTTTTTACACTAGCTCTAAAAGGTGTTCTTAGTATAATTACGCGTTTGTTTTCAGATCTCGCTTGAATATCTCTTCAGTTTATCTAAAATGGAGAACGAAGCTAGAGAACTTGTGGACTTGTACATTCCGAGGAAGTGTAGTGAAACGAACGACATTCTGGCAGCTAAGGACCACGCCTGCATCCAGCTCAATATAGTGGATGTGGATGCGAACGGCGTGAGGACTAACACGTTCAAGACATACGCCATCTGTGGGCGAGTGAGACGTATGGGTCAGAGCGATGACTCAATCATGCGCCTCGCACAGAGGGACGCCATCATGCCCAAGAAGATGTAAAAAAAACAGACGAAAAAATAAATGGACTAATGATGGTTTCATTGAACTGAGTGAATCTGGTATGATCGGTTGCTTGTGACTTATGTGCATTGATTGAACCAGATACGCAAATTCAATTTGGTCCAAAGAGTTTTTTAACGCTCAGAAAGTAGCAAAGTTAACTGGCAAGTGAAATTTATAAGATTGAATCATCTTTTTTTTGTTGAAATATCAAAGGTGTGTGGTAATTGCCTAAAGACACTTGCGAAAACAAGTGCCTTGTTATCCGGATCTAGATTTTTTGCATTAAAGAATTTTTCATACAAAAACTCAGAATTTTAGCTGTAATTTATAGGAACAAGCGAAGCGTAGGGTATTATTACGAATTTTTTTAAAATTACAAGCGAAGCGTAGTGTATTATTAGGAAGAAGAAAAGTGCTCATTTGGTGGCTCTTTTGGTATATTTCAAATTAATCATTTTTTAAGGTCTCTTAATCATAAGCAAGTAATTAGCAGATGTTGTTGCTTTGTTTTTGGCTAGTATTAGGACCTGTTTGAAAAAACAGGTATTATGAAAATGTATGGAATTTGTTGTTTTTTTTTGCGTTGCTTTGGAAGATGTTGCATTTTTGCAAGTTTCGATTTTTCTCAAAAACTTTAACCGTTTGTCAAAAAAATGTACCAATAGACAAGCATTTGTGCCTGCATATTTTGCTCGTATCTTTTCATTTTACCACACATTCTACGGCCTTCGAAAGTTTCAGTATGGGAATTTTTGACTCGTTTGTGTTGAATTTTTTCATTTTCTCAATTTTTAAATGCACAAATCTGAGATAAAAGGTTTAAATCAAAAGAACAAATCATGGGGATCTCGTCTTCTCTAGCGGTTATTCCCCCATTCAGTAGAAAGAAGTTCTGGACTTAAACAAGCCCATTTTTTGAAATTTTGAATTTTATAACCGAAACCAAAAAAAAACAGTTGTGAATCTTACGCCCTGCTTTTGAAAAAAATATGGCCTTAGAAAATGTCCAATTTTGAAATATTGCCAGTGTTTTGGAATTTTTTTTTTCTTAAAAAACTAACCTGCTGATTCTGAGTTTGATAGTTCATTCAATTTAACATGGTGCTTAGATTTTGCCTGTGTAATCTATTTCACCGTTATTTTTTTTTGAAATGCCGATATGGACATCAGGAAAACCCATTTTTTGAAATTTTTACCGTTTTATTATCACTATTCTCGGAAACTACTAGCTAAATCTGATGTTAAGGGTTCAATCTAAAAATCAGGGCGTGGAAGTTTTCACTGCATAAGAAGCTATTCCTATGCTTTGGTGGAGAAAAGTTTATGGATTTAGAAAAAGTTTTTGATTTTTTGATCGTTTTTTGAGAATATTATTTTTCCAAAAACTACCCACCCAAACGTGAGATTAAAAAATTCAATTTAAAGAGCGCTTTGTAGTTTTCTTCTTGAAATTAACAGCTAATTTTCTACTTAAGCAGAGAGATTACTAGGGTTATTTTATTTCATTAAGGTGTATTTAATTTCATTTTGTTTTGCTCTTTTTTCATTAAGGTGTATTTAATTTCATTTTGTTTTGCTCATTTTGTATAGCTCTTTTTGCATTTTCCTTGCTTGTGTTTGCGAAGCGCAGCTTTTCCTCTGTATAAAACATCAATAAAAGTCATGCAGCTGCTTATGGTATAGGTATAGCGCTGTGTTGAGGCTCTAAAAGTAAGGGGCTATAGGTTCGTTGTTTCACATGGAGTTTCAAACGGTTCGTTTCTGTTTTTTTTGCTTCCTGGTTTTTGACAAGATCTATCGGCTTACTTTTCAGTTCGTTTTTTTTTTCAATTTCAAATTTCACTAATGTGAGTGCGGTCGGTTGCTGATGCAGTGATAGGTTAAGTGAGCTCTGATTGGTGTTATTTTGCTGTTGTTCTTCAATTTGTTTTGTGTAAAATATGAAGTGAATTCGTATTATTTAGGTTTTGATGATTTTTTGTTTATTTTTTTTTCAGGAAAAAGTCTTATAATGCTCTAATAAGTACTGAAGTGCTTTCGTACATATTAATGCATTTATGAATGGATTTAGGTGTATGTGCATGATTTGGGTTCAATTTAAATTCATCTGCTAAAAATGAGGTAAAATGCGCTCTCCAATTACGAAAGCAGAAATGGAGCGAAAAAAGTGAACGATTTTTAGTTTCGAAAGGCTGTCAGTTTTAAGATTTTCTAGCGGAATAAAATGTTTACACATTAATCAAGTTTTCTTAAATTGGGTTAATTTTATCGAATTTGAGAATGATAAATCGTGAAATTTAAAGAGTTTGTGTTAATACGCTTTTCCAACTTTGTGTTGGCTATGCTTCCTTTTTAGATTCCATATTTAAATTTTTCCGGTTTTTTGATTGCGGCGGTATCAATCCACTTAGTTCCTTAATTTAATTGTCTGATTGAGTCATTCTATAGGTTGACCATCTTCTTTTTATTTGACCAGCCTCAGGCCTAACCTGAAGGTTAATTATTTAAGGTTAACTAAGCTATGGCTAACGTAAGAAGAAAACCACAAGTTAATACCTTTATGAAAAATTTCCACATTGTAGAAATACGCTGTTTACAAATATGCGATCTTTGTAAACAAACAGTTTTTTTGTCCATTTTCTTCCCTGAAAACCACTGATGCATGAAAAAATTAGTCTCTTATTAAAGATCTGTTAACCAGTTCAATATGATTGCTTATTTATGATCTTGATGTTCTCCCTATTTGATATTGTTCTCGTCTACGCTCTTTTTGAGGAGTATAAATTTGTAATCAGGGTGGAAATTTCGATCGATTTAGAAGCAGAGAAGCTGATTTTTTCTGAAGTATTAATTACACTTGCGATTAGCAAGGGTGTTATGATAACTTCTTATGTTTTTGCAGGTGCGATTAGCAAGCGTTATGAAATCTAAATATACTTTTTTTCGGGAAGTAGATTTCAATGCTTTTGTGCTTCAGAAGGGGGAAATCTTCGAGTTGCAAATATGTATTGCTCAGTATTTCATTCCAATTTTGTTTTCTGTTTAACGATCGTCTACTTAAGGTTTGTCGTCTTAGACGGAGATCGATATTATTTTTGAATACTAATTTAAAGCTGTAAACTCTGTTTCTCGGAATGTTTTCCTCAAGTTGAACATTCGATATAAATGTATAAAGTCTTAGACGATAAAGCTTTTTAATGTTGATTTGTTCTGACTAAAGGGACTCCGCCTCATTTCCTATGTTCTAGTTGCGTCAGAAGAAGTGCCGAGCTCTAGGGAAGCGTTATCAAATCGAAACATAGACTTTTTTGAGGTTAAAAGTTCGTCTAACTTTCTGCGAGTTATATTTTCTGTTTTTTCTCGCTATTCGGATTGAAAGGTCTCGATTGATATTATATTGGCTCAGTGGACCTATACTACATCTTGCGATAGGCGAAAAACAAAAAAATTATATCTGTGTTTGTTTGGTGGTTGGTTGTGTGGGGGTTTAGTTTACAATATTTAACTTCCAAAAGGTGTCATAGCTCCAATTTTCTAACGAAATTTTATTTTTTGACTAAACGAGTTTCCGTCCAAGTAATTTTTTTCGAGTCTAATGTAACACTGACATATATCTTACATTTCGATGTGTTTCCTTTTGAATCAGTACTGGTCTATTACAATTCAAGAGAAATTGCCATATCGTATTGTCTTGACACTTTGATTTTGTCCAAAATTTAAAGGTTTTCAATGATTTTTTTCCCCAAAAACTATTCGATATGAATTAAGGGACAGTCGGAACGTTCAGGGATTTGCCCTGATATACGAGTAGTCTTGTAAATTCTCAGAATGGTTTTTTCTTGTTTTTTAATAATTCCTTTTTTCTGTATGAGTCGTGAAGCCCTTTTACCTATTTGAAAAATGAAATATCAGGACAATAAAAAAGTGAACGTTTTCCAGTTTACTTGACAGCTTAAATTTTCCTGTGTTTACACATGCAACGCTTGTGTTATATTGCATTTTAGTTTTTAAGAGTCGATGAACGTAATTCAGACTCCCATATAGATCGTGTTAATTTTTTTTTTTTTTAATTTTAGGAAAAGTCTTCAAATTTGTCCAGGCTCAAATTTGTTTTTTCGAGGTTTGACTTATTCCTTTTTAACTTCAGTTCTTTTCCGTTGTTAGAAGGAAGGCAAACTCCACTATCGAACAGTATAAGAGTAAAGGCCACCAAAAGTGTGATTGATTCCTAGTTTCGAAAGTGTATATTGAATTTCAGATTTCCGAGGGAAATAAAAAATTTACTTATTGATCGAGTTTTCTCAAATTGGGTCAATTTAATCAAAGTAGTGTCAATCATGATTTGATCTAGAAAGTCAAAGAATTTTTCGGTGGAATTTCGAAAAGTGATTATTTTCAAAAAACAAGTCGATGTTTTTTTACTTGCGTTTACTGGCTCTTTTCCAACTGTCTGTTGCTATGTTTCTTCAATGAAAATCGCGTGTTTCGTTGCATTAGAAATAATAAATATCTGGGATGACAATAAAGCGTATACACGCATTCACTGATTTGCCAGCAAAAACACAGTTTTCTTCTAGCAGTTTAGATCAATATATTTAAACAGATTGTTTTTACTTTAACTTAAAAAAGAAAAATTTTATGAAAACCATTCCGTTGTTACGATCACCGAGAGTCAAACGAAGTTTTGGTTGAGGGTGTTTTCTTTCAAGAAATTTAACAAACATTAGCTTGTGTCAAGTGATATATCAAATTTACACTAGCGATCAGCGTAGTGTATTTGTACGAACCTTTTTTTTATATCTACGACTCATAATCTCTAGGTCGCAAATCAAATCCGAGACGTAGCCGATTTTTTTTTAACTCGAGGCTTTACTAATTTTTTATTGCACTTAATAGAGCTGGTTTTTGTTGTGTTCTCGCCAGTATTTGCGAAACGAAGCTTCGCCTCTATGTAAACAGCTTTAGTAGTAATTTCAGTTGCATGCAAAATTTCAGTACGAATTTTCGCTGAGCGAAGTTATTGAAAGTTAGATTTTATACTCAGTGAATACGAAGCGATTGAGAAATTTGAAGTGGCTTGGTCATTCGGGCTTTTTGTAGTTTTATGCAGGGCATTCACAAGTTTAGCGTTTCTCAATTATTTCGATTGATTAAGTGCTAATTCTCTCAAGGATAAAGGAAAGGGAACTTTCACCCGTTATTGAACAAAGTATAGCTATTATTTACATCGAATAAGTTCCATGTTGTTCTTTTTATCAGAAGAAACACATGTTGTTCTTTTGATCAAAATTTCTGAGTCGGCAGTTCGATTAAAGCTCGAGAAAATAAACTTAATACACTTTAACTTTAAAAGTGAATTTAGTTTTAACAATTTGGTTTTTTATTTTATCCCGACCTACTTGAGTAACAGTTTTTAGTATGAGTTATTTTTTATAGTCTAGCAGAGAGATTAAATATAATTGGAAAAGCCTAACTAGTGGGCGTGCCGTTTTTCATAACAATCGAAAGGAAAAACAAAAGGTTTCTTTCTAAACTTTTCGCATATTGGGGAAGTTGAAAAGCGAAGATTTCGTAATGAAGATAGAAGTTACCTTTTCTCTCAGTTTTTCAAATAAAGGTTATTTTAAACAAAAATAATAATCTTGAACGATTCAGGAAATTCAATTGGCGCCAAAGCGATTTAATAATTTATCGATCAGTTTTTATGGCTTGTATAGGTTGCTCATTTTATCGCATTACCTTTCAGAAATTGTTTCTGCGTTTTTTAGCAGCTTAGTGAGTTTGTTTACACTAATTTCTGGCTTTATTATCTTGATCTGCTTGTTTTTGTTGTTAAAATTATTGTCTGACATGATCGATTGAAAAAGAAGTCGGGATATTTACATATTATGTTTTTTTACGCTTCCGATTAGCGAGCGTTATCAAGTTGAAAACAGAATTTTTTATGCTACCAACTTGTTCTACTAAATCACTTTCAGATTACGAAAGTCATTCGATAGCTTGATGGCAAAGGTCCTAGGGTCGAATCCGGCCAGCCAGTACATGTTCTATTTCTAAACTTGAAATATTCCTTTTCAAAAAAGATTGTCGGCTTATTGCTTGTCTAATTTGTCGACTTGTGCTGTAGGCAATTGGCATTGCTGCTCCAAAAGTTTTGGATTTACTCCTCCTATTCGTAAACTTACTACCCCTGACTTAGTATGTTTTACTGTTTTTCGCTTTAAAGCTTTATTCGACCTTAATAGTTTCGGCAAATGTTTTATCGGCTAAATGACTTAGTTTTGTGTCGATTGAAGAAAAACATAACCCCCCCCCCCCCCCCCTATTCCCTCCAACTTACCTTCGGAACCAAAAAGATTAATTCAGATCTTTGTTATTCAATTTCTCATGACAACAATTATGCTTTTGGCTCAACGGGAGTGTGCCCAAATTGGTCGTTTCTTGAATTTATCTTAACTGTTATTTTTCACGCCGGCGATCGCGTTTTGCTTGATGTGTTTTCCTCGAACTGAACATCCTTGGAGACAGCATCAATAAATTTTTGTAGTTGTGGTTGTTTCGGCTTTTATTCAATTGTTTTGATTTTTCTCTGCTATCTTGTAATGCTAGGTTTGTGTAGCATCGCAAGTAGATCGAAGCTCCACTTCACCTATGTGTTCAAAAATTTTGTTCTCAAACTTTCAAAACCGCTAGTTACTCCCTAAAAATTGTTAACGCTTATTAAAAGCTATTTTAAATAGCATGCGAGTAGCCGATCAATTACAGTGCTATCAATGCTGCTTGTTTCTAAGTGCATAAAAAATTACTGGCTGATCAAGTGAGACAGTTGACGTTTAATCTGCCGCTCCGAGGTTCGAATCCCGTAGTTTTTGAACCTTTTATTTTAAACACTTGTTTTTCTGGGCTATTTTTTAAAGCGCTTGTAGAGCTCTGGCCGACATTTTCGCTTGTGCCATGCTTCTTTTGTCTGAATTTTTGCAGCTGACACTTTAATGATCAAGTTGAACCGAAAATCAGAGTAAACATTTTTCATGCATTTTTTGGCTTAAATTCACAGGAGCTCTAAAAATGGAGAAAAAACTATTTAACTCAATAAACTACCATTATTAACAATTCAAACTGAATACGTTGAACTTAAATCTTTACAAACTGTTAAATTGCAGCAAAATTGGGTAAAAATAAAACTTTTCCGCCTCAGAACATTACGTCTCTTAACCAGATCTCTTTCTAAGCGGCAGGTTTGACTCAAATTTAATGCTTTTTTGTATAGTTATCTTGGCATGTAATTAGTAGCATCCACAGTGAGCGGCTACCATATCGCGAAATGTCTTCAAAATGACGTTTTGAGAGGGTTCCATGTACAATAGGGGCAGGGGCATTAGTTTGTCTGGCACACAGCATGGCTGAGGAACTTTAACTTTGCCGGCGTAGCTCTGGAAGGCACTGAATGTGCCCTGCATGATGGCGTGGTTTGTGGCATTGAATCTCTGGTCGTTTGGCCAAGGGCAGTCACCCATGCATAAGTTCATCTCGAACGCTGAAACAGTAAAATTATATCAGGAGTTTTCTCCATTATCATATTTTGTACTCAGGAAACGTGCTATATTGTAGCATAAAGGGCCGAAACGCATGAATGTACTGGGTGAATTTTGCAATGTTTGAAACATGTCACATAATTTTTACCCCTTTTTTCTAGTTTTGTCTTAAAGTTTCTATACTAGTGAGATTTTTGCGTACCTGGTTAAAGGGATTCGACCACCTGCCGACCCAAAGGGTCCCCCTTTGTGACTAATTTAACCCATAAAATGACTGGCCGACCCTAAAATTTTTCTAAAGCGCTTTTGGCGCCAATTTATACGAATTTTGAGGGCGCCGAAAATCGCGGTTTTTTGGTCAACATTTTCCGAAAAGTGCCTAAAAACGCTTATTTTGGCCTGTTATTTTTAAATTTAGCCTGCAGCGCATGCCAATATGATTTGAATAGGGCCTTCATAGGGATTTGGGAGAGCTCAGAACATCAATTTGGTCGACCTGAAGTCCCCTCTCCCCCTCCCTTTCGAGAAAATCTTAGATCCGCCCGTGAAATGATGTAGTCCTTTTTTTTGGGTTGGTTTGATGTGATTTATTCTTCAAATTTGTTTTAGGAGCGGATCTAGGATTTTTTTTTCGAGGGGGGGGAGTGATTTTTTAGGTTGACCGAATGGATTTTCCGAGCTCTTTTTGGTGTACTTTTTGGACTTCCAAAGGCGCCTTTAGAAAAAGTTTGATGTTGGTACCAAAAATGCGCCACTGATTTATCTTGTCGTCATTTTAATGTGTTTTTATCCTTCTTTCCTGTAGAGTACTATCGGTTTCAGATTGTTTGTCCAACACTTCGACGCTCTGCTTAAAATTTAAGGAACTCATTAACTACCCCCCCCCCCCCCCTTTAGGTACCTAGCAACGAATCTGCCCCTATAAACAATTAATTCAACGGTTAAGCGTATGAAAATTTTGTGCCTAGTAACGAATCCCCCCTTTTTTGCAAAACGGGGGAAATAGTTTGAGAGATCCAAATTTAATGGTAAAAATCTAGGTCGAGGCGGCCAAAAGCGGACGCTGAAGATTCATTGCGAAAGCAATTATTTTATCATTGGTAAATAATTAAAAACTATTTTGGGTATAATTTTTTGTGAGAATTTTGAGGAATATAGGAATATAACAGCTCAAGCAGTTATGTTGCCAATATAATTGCACTAGCGAACTGTTAACAATGAAGCTAATCGAAGGAAAAACGTAAATACTATGTTGAACTAACTTTCAGGTCCTATCACAAACTCCTTGGTCCATCCAATTTCAGTGAAGTTGGCTATGAACGGAACTAGGCGACAGGGCCTGTCGGGTCGTCTCGCAAAACTCGAGCGTCTCGTTCTCAGCTCCGAGTCGCCCTTGTGCTCGCTGGCTTCGTCAACCAATGGGAGCACTGTCGGATATACGACTGCTTCACTCGCGTCCACGACATTCAGCTCGTCCCTTAAGTAAAATGCGATTAGTGACCTCTGAGACCACTCGGCGTCGTCGTGGTTCCGAAATATGCTGGCATGGAACTCTCGGTTCGTGTGGTGATTCGTGTTTTCAATGTAACCGACTGGCAACTCGTCGGGACTTAGAACCAATCGCACCTTCTGTTTCTTTGATGTTTCTTCGCTCATTAACAGTGACTGGTCTATTTTTACCACATGTTGCTGTGACGTTAAGTAGTTAACTGTGACTGAAGTTAAATATATGCTGAAATAGTGCTGCAGTTCTTTTTTAAATTTTGAATTTTGTGGCTTGGGGAACGAGGGTACAACTTGGTACACGTGGATTAGACGTTTTCCATAGGTCCAGAAATTGCTCTTTGTGAAGAATCTCAGCTCAATCGCAATTATACTTTCATGGGATTCCAGCTCCGTAATTGCAAATGAGAAAGTGTATTTATTCCCCACACCTGAAAAATTTAATTTGAAAATTAAGACGAATACCAATACATACTGTGTGGTGAATAGTTAGCTCTGCTGAAAATAATAATGCGTTACGGCGGCGATTATTTGAAAAATTGTATTTGGCATATTCTTATCGAAATAAAAGAAAATATTTACCACATCATTAGCATATTCTGGCGACGCTGTAATTTCAAAGCTCCGCTTCGCCTCTGTGTAAAAGAAATTATCCGCGAACAGCTTAGAAATTATTTGGAAACTTATTTGAAAGTTCATCTTGTCCTCTGAAAATCATAGATGCTCTCCTTGATGTGAATCCCCCCCACTGCGAGTTTTAAAGGATAAAAATGGTTCAATTTGACAAAATGTTGGACAGTTTAAAAAATTGGAACTCTAATTCCAGTTGCAATCAAAAATTGTTAAGAAATTTCTTATTAGTAAGTTTTTTCACCATGGTTAATTTCAATGCAATATGTTAAAATAGTTTTTCAAACTTGAAACTCAAGTGGGGGGAGTGGAAAAGAGCCAAACAACCTTTTGGCTTGAACCTTGAAATGTTCGGATTCGAACTTCAGGTTCTTACTGGGGCAGAAACTGCGCGTGAATGTATCTAAGCTGATTTCTAAGAAAAATAAATCGGGTAATCATATGCTCCAGTAATTTTGATACGTTGCATTACGATGTGCTGAGTTATCTTGATATCCTAATTTAAGAGCTTCGTACAAGCAATGTTATCACCTGATTTGTCTGGGTATATCTTGATCTCGTTTACATTGTCGTATGGCGTTGTCAGTTTTCCTTCTGTTGCCGCCCTCGAATAAATACTTCTGAGAAAATCTGGCAGCAAAACTTTACTTCCCAGTGTCTTCAGGGAATCTCCGGGTCCTGCAAAGGAGGGTACTTGCTCCCGTATCAAAGGTCCTCCGGATTTGAAAGTGAGGCGGCTTTTAAGAGTGCCAGGATCGGCTGTAGGAAATTCGAATTCGTCATCGGGTTTGGTGTCTTGGGTTTTGGAATCGATTGCCGACGTTAGGGATCCCAACATACGCAGCCCGAGCAAGGGCGCGAGATAAAGGCAGAACGTGAACAAGTTATGTAACCGTATCATAATTTGCTATCATGTCGGATTTGAATTGGAACTGGGTTGTTTTTACAGTACAAGTAGGTCAGCTGGCTCCTCTATGGATTCTGATATCCCTAGTAGCGACCAGAGGAGAGAGAGGAAAAGGAAAGAGTTGTTTTATTTTGTTTTGGTATCCTGTCACAGTTTAGTTTCGTGTCTGTTCCGAATTTGTGACTATAACGTACTCTCTGCGGGGCTAGTGTAGCGAATAGGAAGGTAGAAGTTTCAGGTAGCTCTAGCGGAGATTTTCCAAGTATGATTGCGCAGTTGTTTTAACTAATCTGGAGTATCTGGGCGCGCTTTTTAAGGATCCATAAATGACACAAACTTATAATCCCATCGTTAGGGGGTATATTGAGTTAGCGAGAGAAGGGCTAAGAAGCAAATGATTTTATCGAGCCGCGTTTTCCAAATTGAATCTCCAATTTTAAAGTCGCACTTTGTTCCCAACTTTCAGTCCTGTCGATTTATATCGTATCTAGCGCTGGGTTTCCCTCGTTAATATATTTTGGGTGCTCTTAAAACTTCGGCTTAAAAATTTGTGACGTCTAATAAAAAGGAAATAAATTACCAGGTGACGTTTTTTGGCAGGGTTTGATACAATAATATAGACTAAGCTCGCCACGCTAATCTCTGCGATTTCTGAATATCAACTAAATTGAATTTCTCTCCCAAAAAGGATTCTCACGCCTAACCCGTTATTATTGATTTCTACTTTTGATAAATTTTCTTAATATTTTTAAATTTGGCGCTTGCTGATTCTTCGTGAAAGTTGATTAATGTTTGGTAATAAATTTGAAGTGAAGCACTAAATGTACAGAAATTAGTCGTCGAACAAATGTTACGAAAGAGCTCTAACCTCTCGAGAATTCAAATCGCAAAAACTGAAGAGCATTTAAAAATCGGGGACAAATGGCTCGGACGAAGTGATAAAATCTAATTTAAATTTAATATTTTATGAAGTTATCGACGGCTCTTCTGCCAAAAATATGCTCTTTTTATCTTATAACTATATGTTTATAATATAAGCATAAATTAGCTAAACTTGTGATTTAAAATTAACTATGCTGGTACAACGGAGACTGTTTTGACTTTCGCTAACTGCATAAAAATATTTCTTTTGAATTTGGATTTTAGAATGAAAACATCTTTTTATGTTTTCTAAATGGTAAAACACAAACTAAACAAAGCACGGAAATTGTTTGTAATTTCAAGAGTTGAACAAGTTTAAAACATTACTTCAGTGCATGTCAAAACGATGTTAAGACAATTGTAGTCGAGTTAATTGGACTGATAAAAATGCTTCAAGCCATCGCTTAATTAATAAAAAAAATTGAGTTATTTTTCACAAATAATCAATTACGTTTGTAAGTTTAGCTACACATCAAATAGTCTGCATAGTCAAGTGTCTAATGCTAAAATGATCAATTGTACCGTCTTGTCTTACCAATTTTAATTCTGTCGTTTTTTACCATATTTTCTTTCCAATTTAGAATCTAATTTTCGCACCAATGTGACGACGCATCTTAATTAGTGCATAAACAGCACGGTAATAAACTGCAGCTATGATGTGAATATGGCTCATAACTTGTAAGTTTTTAATCTGAAGTGAACACATCTTTAACGAGCATGCGAATTATATAATTTTCGATAAAGAAGCCAACACAAAACGTCGCCAATTTTTTGCGGCACGGCGCGCGCGATGATAAAGAAAAACTGCGAAAATCTAAACTTTCTTCTCAAATCTTCAGAATTGCTCCATCTAATCTATAATAAAATAATCCACCTGTGTGTATGTATTGAACGTAATCAATGGTCGCAAATCACAACAATCCTCAGGGCTATAGAGTCATTAAGTTTATGAAAATACCGAGATATGTCCAAAATGTTCAGGCGCCGTGTTCATGCTAGAATGAACTTTTTGACCAGATTTTCTCACTTCTGAGCAGAGAGTTACTTGGAAGCATAGACAAAACGAAGTTTTGCATTCGAAATAATTTCATTCAGGCTTAATTTGAAACAAGTTTTGACTAAAAGTCAACTTTTTCTTACTTTTTGTTTGATAATTTATTCAAAGTTGCACACTGTTATTGAAACTTAGGAAATAGCTACGATGCAGCAGCGGACTTATGAGTGGAGGTCGGGGGTTATGGGGGATTTATCTCTTTCATACTTTTTAAGACAGCCATTTTTTATACTGTTTGACCTTACAATTTTTTGAAGGCGCTTTCGGTCCTTTTTTACTAACTTTGAAAGGAGAGTGGCGAAGTAGTTCCAAAACATGCATAAAAACGCGTTTTCGGCTTCTTGCTTCAAAACTTTGCATAAAAATGCTTATAATAGGGTCGCACAAAAGGTGCGCAAAAATTACTCAAAATAGGGTCTTTATAGTGATTTAGACTAATTGTTGTGATAAACTTATTAAATAGTTTCATATAAAAATGGAAATGATCGGGAATGGCAATGGTCATTCCCATAAATGTTCTTGCTGCGAATCAACAATTGCTGACGATGATGATGTGCTATCCTGTGATATGTGTCGATCACGATGCATCAAGGGAGCCTGTATTGGATTGACCTCTGCAGCCGTGACATGTGGTTCAGTTCAGTGGAGGTGCCCTGACTGCTCTAAGATAAGTATACTGTCCATTTTCGAGCAAATTTTGTTAAAGATGAACAAAATTTATAAACTTGAAAAAGACGTAGAGAGCCTGAAATCGCAAAATTTTACTTCGAACCCAGAGACGTTTGCAAATGTAGCGAAATTGAACAAAAGTTGTCCAAGTGGATAGTACTTCGTCCCAAGTATCTGTTACACGTACTGAAAAACGACGGCGGACTTCGCCTGTGAAGGTACCGGTTCTTGTTGGCACATCGCCTGCATCTACAAGCATTAAAGGTGTGAAACTTTCGGAGCGGGAGGAAAGAAGGCATTATTTCCTTAGCCGAGTTTCTTCTATTGTTGACACGACCATGCTTAACGATTACTGCAAAGAAAAGAACCTTACTCTTCTTGGTTGCCGTGAGCTGCCTTCAAAAAGGGCAGATATGAAATCTTTCCATGTAGTCATTCCAGTGAATGAAAGTATCGTCGCCGAGAAAGCAGAGACTTGGCCTGAGAGTATTATAGCACGTCATTGTTTCCTGAACGAAGAAGCCAGAACTTGGCTGAAATCGCTCAATTGACAATCAGAGACGAGTATTCATGTTTGTGCACTGTGGAATGCTCGATCAATATGTAATAAGACGGATTCAATTTATTCGTACCTACTTGCAAATGAAGTCACTTTTCTTGCAATTACTGAAACTTGGTTATCTGAAGATAGCTTATTTTACGTAAATCTTGCGAAGCCTTGTAATTATAACTACAATGGTAACAATCGTCCCACACGGGGTGGGGGCATTGGAATTTTCTATCTCAACACTTTCCGAATTAAGCTAATTGAGGAGTCAATAAGTAATATTTGGGAATTCTTGGTCGCTGAATTTACACTTACAGACATGAATGTATGCATCTTTGTTTTATATCGCTGCCCTAATTCTTCATGTTAAATTTTCCTAAATGATTTGGTTGAGCTGGTTACACATTACGCGCTACAATACAAATGGTGTTACATTATTGGGGATTTCAATATTCCAGTTAATAAGTCGTGTAATTCTTCTGAAGCCTTATTATCTAGTATGGAGGAAATGGGTTTTTATCGATACAGTTCTGGCCCCACTCACGTTGGTGGCAATGAACTAGATTTGATATTCTTCAACCACAGGGTTACAAATTTTGTCGCACTCGACAGAACACTAGCTTCAGACCATTACTGTGTTACATTGATTATTAATTCTTCTGCAGTGACTATTGCACCCACCCTCCAACGTCAATTTAAAAGTTAAATGGCTTCGGGATCAAGCTGATCGTGTTTCCATTTTTAATTCTATTTTAACTGAGACTTCTGCAATTGCTAAGTCTGATTTTATTTTACAATCAAACTGTCCTTCAATGATTGTTAACTCGTTATTTAATACCTTTCATGGTGCAGCAGTAGTAGATGTTGGAGCTGAAGTGGGGGGGGGGGGGGGGGTGCCTGCTGACCCCCATGTATTAAGATAGGGAATAGAGCATCCGGTCAGCAAGCTATGTATTAAGGTTGGGTCTAGAGTCTACAATGTATTAAGATAGGGAATACCGATGGTAAGGTTTTATGGTTTGTGTGATGGTAAGATAATGGTAAGAAAAACGTAATTTTTTGGTTTTTGTCTAATTTTTTCGCAAAAATGTTGGCGCGTGTTAACTAATTTGTGAATATCGAAGGTTAATTACGTGTAGGTTGTGCAATGAAGGACTTTTGATTAGTTTTTTGATACATGGTAAGTCAATGGTAAGAGTTTTTGGGTAAAAACTTGGAATTTTTATGAAAAAATTTTCAAAAAAACTTTAAAAAACGACAAGGTTAGCTATTATTTGACCTAATTTATTAAATAATCTTACTTTCTATCTAATTAAAACAATGCTGAAACCTACTGAAACTTCGAAAAAATTCAAATTTTTTGAGAAAAAATTGCAAAAATTTCAAGTATTTGGAAAAAATTGCAAAAATTTCAAGTTTTTGGAAAAAATTGCAAAAATTTCAAGTATTTGGAAAAAATTGCAGAAATCTCATAATTTTGGCTAATGTATTGTTGCTTTTGATCTAATTTTAAACATACTTTTACGTATAGATTTTAAAAATAAGCTAAGACTGTATGTTAATTGGCATTATGTTGAGACAATGATACAAAATTTTGAATAAAAAAATGACTTTTTCAAGAATTTTTTCTCAAAATATTGAAATACGATGAAGTTTACCTTAATTTGAGCTAAATATTTGGTTATACAATGCTCTGAACACTGAAAAGAAGGTTCATAGTAGCAAAATCAATATTGAAACTCCCGGAAAACAGTGAAATTAGTCGTAATTTTTGAGATGTTAAAATAAAAATTAATCAAATTTACGTGAAATTTTCCATTTCGAACTTTTTATTTTGGTTTTTAACTGTTTTTTTTGTCCAGTTCAGGGATTATTTTTAGGAATCTCAATTCAAATGAACATTAAGGGCAATATCCTATGAAATTTCTAAATCAAACTCCATGATTCAACTCCTCCTCATTTTTTTCTCATTGAATTACCCAAATTTGTACAAAAATTACAACTTGTGACAAATTTTTCATGTTGAAAATTAGAAATTTCTGATTATTGATAAGAAATGAACAGTTTATTGCTAAAATTGTTTAAAATGGGATAAATGTTTCTGAAAAATTTAATCGATATTGGCTCAAGTTCAACAAAAACTTCTTCTGCAACATAACTTTCAAGATTTTCCGTAGAGTTTTTCCATGTTTTAAAGTTATTCTTGCTTTCTGTTTAAAACATGTTTTCGCTATTGAACACACTTTACTAGAAAATTTAGTCAAAACTGGAGAATTGAGGAGGAAAATAGTATCAATTGAACGAACAATTTGCTAGCAGAGATGAAATTAGAACTGATACCGTATGATTATTACAATAAAAATGTTAATATCTTCCTCAAGGTTCCCCTGTTCAGTTGCTATTGTAAACTATTTAAGCAAAAATACACATTTTGGGATCATTAACTATCACTTTTCTAGCAAAATAGTTATTAACTCGCTTTTTTTCCTAATTTATGTCGGAAATTCTCTCAAAATATCCAAGTGAGAAAGAATTGATGCTAGTTAAAGCATTCAAAAAAATATGTACACAATGAGAATATAAAGGTGTATTTTTACGATCTAAGAACAAATTAGGAGCAGCTCTGTTAGTTATAATCTGAAAATCTCCGGAAATACGCAAGAGAAGAGAACCTAGTTCCTAACATCTACAATATAAAAAACTTCTGAAAGAGCGAATCTCAAAAAATTGATTTAGCAAAGCAAATCAAGGTGCAAACTGGAACAATTGTGTAATTTTCCAATTTTTATTAAGAAAAAAACTCTATGTAGTAAAAATGTAGTAATGTATTGTATATAGAGTTGTATATTCTATGTAGTATTGTGTATGTATGTAGCAAGGAAAAGTAGATCTTGAAAGCAAGTTTTCGATTTATGCTTTATGTATCTTCTTC